GCAAGAAACAGGAAGAGAGAGAGAGATTTAAGCAGGGAGAGGAAAACGAGGGGCGTGTTGTATATAAAGAGAGGAGAAGAGAGAAGGTGTGGAGCTGAAGTTGTTAGCACTTAGCAGTAAGTGTGTGCGTTTTTATTCTTATTCTTGGAAATTTTAAACTTTTAGACTAGAGAGGTGGGAAGTTTAGGTAAAAACGGTGGTGGGGCTCGTTGGGTAATGAAATTGAGCGGGGAGTGGGGAGAGAGCAAGACACTAGGAAAGAGTGACGCTGGGTGTATGTGCGTGTGGTTGGGTTAGATTCCAAAGTATTGGGCAATAGCGGCTCCGTGTCTCCGCGGATGGCTGTCCCTCAGCCGTTGGATTCCCTTTCTCGTGTCAGGATTTTGATATCTTATCACTTTCCACGACCAGAGGAGGAAAATACGTAATGCTACTGCTACCCAATCACTTTCATTTTTCAAATAAAATACTAATTCTTTTGTTTATGGGTTTTTTTTCCCTTTCCTTTCCTTTCCTTCCTTCCATTCTTTCTTTCTTTCTTTCTAGTGGAAAACGTACGTCTACTAGTGTCGCGTCTGGGAGACAAGGTCCACTAGTTTTCATCTGACAGAGGAGAGGAGGATGGTGCAGTGGATATTTGTATATGTTTTTATTTATTTTTCCCACCCCCTTCTCTCAATCTCAATAGATTCAGTGCAGCTAAGCCACAAAATAATTAATTGTCGCTGTGGATGTATTTGCAACGCACTTGGGGTGTTGGATTTCTCGTTTGTTGTTTCTTTTCACCGCAGACATGAATTCTCTGTTTGGGTTCACTAGTTTTTTAAAAATTAATTTTTTAAATATTATAAAAGTTTTTAACAAAATACTCTAAAAAATAATCTAAATTTTTTTTAATATTCAAAAAAATCTCAAAATATATTTTAAAAACTCTACTACATTTAAATATTTCAAAATATTTTCTAAAAATATCTCAAAATATACTTAAAAAACTCTGTTATAGTAAAATTTTTCAAAAACACCCCAAAAAATAACTAATCCAAACGGAGTGATGACACCACATATCATGAATTCTTATTGCTACCAGAGAGTATATTTAGTCCGTTTGGAGTTAGCCAAATGTTTTCAGTCATTCCAGTTTAAAAATGAAATGCCATGCGGACGGTCAATTTTGTAGAAGCCGGTCTATTCTGAGTTCTCAAATCACGGGTACAATGCTTGTACAACATGAGATTGGGCTTTGAAAATGAAAATTGAAAGAAACAGGCGTGACTTTCTGGCTTTATGGGCTAGGCCCTTGTGGCCCTTTCCGCTACTTGCAACTTGAAGTTTGTCGTTATGCTTCACAAGTCAATTGCAACTTCTCAAGTGGGGGGGGCGGGCTAAGGCCGGATGGATAAGGATGCCACGTCCGCCTAGCCGAAAGAAAATGACCCTCCCCTTCGTCGCCTTCCGCAACCGCCGTTAAAATAACTAGCAAATGAATAAAAGATTAAATTCCTAAAGTATTTACTCTTTCGTGAAATTTGTCCCGACTCTTGAGACTTTATCTAAAACACCTTTTGGTTTCTTTCTCCCATCGTTTTCTTTTCTTCTTCTTCTTCTTCTTGCTAACACAAGGACCTTGTCTTAGATTGTGTCCGCAACTGGACAAAGAATTTTGTAATTAAACAAAGCTAGATTCACATTAGGAACGAAGGCAAAGTTTCTTGTACTTGGAATAAACTCGAACCATGTTTGCTCCACAATACACTGACCAAAAAAGTTCTTTAGCATAGGGGTGTGCATCGAATTCGAATTCGGTAATTCGGAAGTTTGAATTCGGAATTTTTCGAAATTTTGGTACCTGGTAATTCGACCGAATTCGATTTCGAATTCACCAATTCCGAATTCGAATTCGTACCGAATTCAATTCGGAATTCGGTAAATTCCGATTTCACCGATTTCACCGAATTCGGAAAAATTTATATATTATTATATAATATAAAATTTATAATAATATATAATATTATATAAATTTTATAAAATTTATATTATATTATATTATATTATATTATATAAATTTTATATAATATTATATAGTATAAATTTTATATTACATGTATAAAAAATATATTTATATATTAAAAACGAATTTGAAATCGAAATCGGAAATTCCGATTTGAAAAACTCCATTACCGAATTCGAACCAAATTCGAAATATATGAATTCGGAAAATCCGAATTCGATTCCGATTTCCGATTTACCGATTTCGAAAATTCCGAATTCAATTCGAATTCGGTCGGTAAATCGGAATTTTTCGATTTTGCACACCCCTACTTTAGCATATCGTAGTCCAGTTTTTGACAAGAATGTGTGAATTTGCAGCTTGCTTTAGGTATTACGTACCCGACTTCTAACAAGCACGCTTGAGAAAATGAGTTTTTTTTCTCCCCAAAGAAAAGAAAAGAAGAGGTAGAATTTAAGATGCATGGAGGAAAAAGAGGAGAGCAATTTACACACACGAGTTCTAAATTCAAAAATTACAACCTCATTCGCTAAACTAATTAGGCCTCCTCAACTCGAGAAAATGAAATTCTAAAACCAAAATATGCGTCGTCCCTTTCCCGCTTGGCTTTGCAATTTGCAATTTGCAATTTGCATGGCAGGGCACATAATATTATATTATTGTGTTCTCAAATTAGAATTAAATAAATTATATGTGGCTCCATAAAGATTTCAAAGCTTTTATTGTTGTGACCTGGCCACTCCGGGGACGGTGATTCTCTCAGTTCAAATGCAGTCATTAATTAGATCGCAATTGCAAAGTCAAGAATAATTCTTACCCAAAAATAAAAATAAAAAAATGACGAGAGTCGAGAGTAGTTCATGGCATGAGGAGAAGATTCATTTAGCCACAGCACTCGAGCTTGACCTGGACTTTTGGTCAATGATTAGTAACTGGAATCCTACATGAGCGAGACCCCATCGCAATTATAAAGGTAGGGTACAGGCCATTTCTTGCTACTGTTTTTTTAGTTTATCATTCCAGTACCATTAATTCTTCTGCAATCAGAATAGAATTACAGCTCAAACTCGAAGAAGTTTACGACTTGCTGCCTGCATCTCCAAGTCCCTCTTCCACCTTCTTCTCTGTTTGCTGTATATAAAGATAAATAACAGAACACAAGAACCTCCTGCGCGCATGCTGCGCGTAAACTAATTGCGCGCAGGACCATTGATGGTATACGTCGTCTCCTCTTATCCATTTAAGTTAATCTTCTTTGTGCTTTTGCGACTGTAAGAGGCCGCCGGCAAACGAACGTACATCAGAAAAAACCTAACGGTGAAGCTTTTCGCGAGAGTCCTCAATATGTTTTATTCTAACTCTAACAAAACAAAAACCGATGGCTTTCCTCTTAATTGCCGGCCCAGGAAACCAACGCATGTCCCCACCGCGTGCTCGCATCCGCTGTTTGGTACGCGTGCCTCCGAGGCTTCACTGCATTTGGATCATTCATGGTCTGTTCACTGCATCCTTCTTGTCAACTGTCAATGCTTGAAACGATAGCTAGGTTCCCTTTTATTTTTGCCTTTTTTCCGCAAGCAGAAAACATTCAAAATTAGGATAGTAAGAATGTGGATACGATCGATCATCACAATTTGGACATGATCAAACCACCACCAAGACTGCCTTGAGGAGATCAACAACTAAACTATATATATATATTGTCTTACGAGGATGTAAAAAAAGGAAAAAGAGAGAGAAGCCAATTGCATCATCATCTGCTTAGACTAATTATGTTCGAAAAGACAAAGGATCTAGGCAATATCCATCAGATCGGGATTTGCGGGTACTTTCTACGGGTAATTTGGATTTAGCTCGAACCACCGATTTCCCTTCCAAAATGATGAGAGTACTGAAAATCAAGCCATTCCACCTGTTCCCCCAGCATTTGCGCAAATAAAGTTACTATAAAGCAACCCTTTCAGATAAATATAAGCATCCATCCGTCATTTGTCTTCACATTTTTTTAATTCAATATTGGAATCCTTGATCCAATCAAACCAACTCTGATCATAATACAATAAGGTTTCCGTCAATTAGATTTGTAATTATTCCTTCAAAGATGGAACGGCTAAAATTCCCACGTAAGGGATTAGCAAAGCTTTTGTGGGTGCCGATACTAGAAATGAGTAGTAGCGTGGTAGGACGGACCAGTCACTATTGTTGTTGTTGTTGTTGTAGACTTGTAGTTGAGTCCAGCCTTGAATGATAGAAAATATCAATATTGATGTTGCAAATATCAAACTGAAATAAAATCGGTCCACCATCCAACAAATTGGGGAGGGTGTAAAATTTCAATGTGGTGCCAAATCATGGCTGTCAACACGTTACATCTGAAAGTGATCGTTAAGATGATCCAATGAATCGCGCCACTGGCTGATTAAATTACCAACATTTTTTTTCATTTAACTGTGTCCGATTTGTGAAAGACGTTTAGAGTTGAGTAAAGCACCACCATGACTTCACACGGTTCTAGACTAGTGATTCCTGTTGATGTGAAGAAGAAGCCATGGGAACAAAAGCTTCCGCTTCACAACAGGTGGCATCCGGCAATACCGCCAGTTGCAGAGGTTAAAACTGGAGAGCTATTCAGGGTTGAGATGGTCGATTTCAGCGGGGGTGGGATCACAAAAGAATATACAGCTTATGATATCAAGCATGCGGATCCCTCAGGCGTGAGTTCCCCCTTCTGATTTTCTTGTATCATACTTATTTCATCACCATGTGAAAGCAACTGTTGGAAGCAATAAGCTGCAAGTTATCTCTTAAAGAAAACCCATGACTCAACTGTGTAGCTAAATTACAGTTCTGGTCTAAAAGCCATTGACAGTTTTTTTTTTTTTTTTTTTTTTAAAGTAAAAGGGTAATGATAAAATATCACAGAAACTTAAAACTATGAACTTTTAATTATCCTGCTTACCGATAAGAGATTTTTTCCATTTTCAACGGTCATTGTCCTTTACCCTAAGGTTGATGGGGGACCATTTGGAAAATTGTCACTCCTGCCTTCTCTCAGCTACCGCAGCTTTGAGAACAATTTTCAGCTACCTAAGGCTCTGTTGATAAAACTTAAAAGAATAAACTACACCTGAGTGTGCATGATAGTTATAGAGCAACTCATACATGGCTCCTCCAACTCCAAGAAGAGTTGCAACTGTGGACCTAAAGAAGAAACCAGGGGAGCAGATGCAACCCCTTCACAACCGTTGGCATCCAGAGATACCACCGGTGGCTGAGGTCAAGTCGGGTGAGGTATTCACAATAGAGATGCTAGATTGGACAGGAGGTGCAATCAAAGATGACAATTCTGCTGTTGATATAAAAATTTTAGACCTATCAGTTGTAAGTACAAAGCTTCTAGTTTAACCACAGCTTACGCCGCTACAACTCTCCCCAAACAAGTGATTTTAAAACAGTTTGAACTTAATATGGCAAGTAAAACAGGAATGACTAACTAGGTACTACATCAAGAGAAAATCCGTCCACCGTATATTTATTTCCTTTCATATGATCGAATATGTACCCGAAAGTGTACTTCGCCACTTGGAACGATTTTACAGATTTGATCCCGCCTATAAATTTTTCATCTCGAAACTGATGTTCTCTATGAGAGACAACAGTGCAGAATTCTGTACCAGCTACTTACTAGTTATGGCTCGTTGAGATCTGGCTCAGGTACACTATCTTAGTGGACCAATCAAGGTCACTGACGCAGATGGGATTCCAGCCAAGCCAGGTGATCTTCTTGCAGTTGAAATTTGCAACTTGGGTCCCCTTCCTGGCGATGAATGGGGCTTCACTGCAATATTCGATAGAGAGAATGGCGGAGGATTTCTGACTGACCATTTTCCAAATGCAACTAAAGCTATTTGGTACTTTGAAGGAATATATGCTTACTCTCCTCATATACCAGGTATGTCGTGCTTGAGTTTTATTTGTCGGCAAGACCAGCACGGGCATGTATTCTGATCATGACTGATTTCCGGTTTGATGGGGCACTTACCGAGCATAGGAGTAAGGTTTCCAGGTTTAACCCACCCTGGAATAATAGGAACCGCGCCCTCCATGGAACTCCTTACTATATGGAATGAAAGAGAGAGAACCCTTGAAGAAACTGGTCTTCATTCTCTGAAATTATGTGAGGTATTGCATGCACGACCACTGGCAAACTTACCATCAACCAAAGGCTGCGTTCTTGGCAAGGTATGACTCAATGGATATATAACCAACGTAAACGTTAGGTCCCATAAAGTTTTAGCCCCAGTTAAAGATGTCTGCTTTGCTCTGATGTAATTTCTAGTGTGTTGAAAAATTTAAGGTCCATTCTCTTGCTAGTCAGCACTAAATAAAATGAGAACTAAATAGCTTCGTATAGCAAAGAACTAATCCGGCTCCCCATTGCATGTAGATTCAAGACGGAACACCTGAATGGGAAAAGATTGCTCGGGAAGCAGCAAGGACTATTCCTGGAAGAGAAAATGGAGGGAATTGTGACATCAAAAACCTGAGCAGAGGTTCAAAAGTTTACCTTCCAGTCTTCGTAGAAGGAGCAAATCTGAGTACTGGAGATATGCACTTCTCCCAAGGTGATGGGGAGGTGGCATTCTGCGGGGCAATTGAGATGAGTGGTTTTCTAGAACTCAAGTACTTTCATGCTCGATCTCAGTAATTAGTCTTTCCTGCTTAAAATCCAGGCATCAAACTTGAGACTTTTAGAGAATACTTTGTCCAATAACGGTTAAGAAGGGATTTTAGAAGAAGTTTATACAAATTGAATTCGGGTGCTTTTTGTTGGGGTGGTGGGGGGAGCTGCTTCCTGGGACAAGAAAACTCGAGACCGTAGCTTGAGTCCCATTTCATGACTTCTGTTTTGCCATCATCGAAACTACGACAGATAAAAATTATTACAGTTTGACAGTCTTAAAGCAAATAAGAACCATACTTGATAACATTTAGATAATAACTGCTCATTTCCAATTAACTAAGTGCATATCTAAGAGACGGAGAGTGAGAGATTAAGGTGAAAACATCCATTATCAGCTTACTCAATGGATTGATTATCATTATTAATCAAATATTGGCAGCAAACTTGTGACTGATGAAACACACATAAATAGAATTGTTGGGTGATATATATCATAAACTGCAGTAATTTTTTTTTTTTTTGGTCTAAACTGCAGTAATTGCCAGACAAGAAATTCTATATTGTGTTCAGAAATTAGGGTTTGTTTGGTCGGTATGTTTGTCTCAAATTTTACTGTAGAATGCTGTTGATTGTTTTAGGAAAATGTTGGTATTTGTCCAAAACACTCAAAAGCACCTATTTTTCCACAAAACTCCCTAGATCCTCCCCCTGCCGTTCTGCCACCCACCACCATCAACTACCTCTGCCATTGATCCCCTATTTAATGTTTTTTTTTTCCAAAACTTGTGTCTGTTTCAGAGTTTGTAGATTGTGTATTAGACAAATTTTGTCTTTTTAAAACAGGGTGATAACACCTGTCAAACAGACCCTAGATTTAACAAAAAGTATTCCCCTCCTTTAAGCGGAAAGGGCAAGGGAGCAGCAATAACAAGACAAGAAGTTAAAGAAATAGAACTATAGCAAATTAAAATTTGAAGAACCCTAGTGTAAACACAATAGAGGAGATCTACACTAAATAGCACCGAAACACTCGAGTCGATATTCCTGAAAGTTGTCCAAAGATCCAATATGTTACTGCATGCTTTGGACACCTTAGACAATCTTCAAACCCTCCAAACAATCGATAATGGCCATGCAGTTATGTATGTTTTTCCTCTTTCTCCAAATTTATCTGGCATCTTGTTAATTGCTATCAGATGTGAGATCATAAGAGATGGCATGAAACAGTACCTCACTCCTATGGGGCCTACTCCCCTGCATGTCAATCCTATATTTGAGATAGGCCCTGTTGAACCAAGGTTTTCTGAATGGTTGGTGTTTGAGGGCATCAGCGTGGATGAAAGTGGGAGACAACACTTCCTTGATGCCAGCGTTGCTTATAAACGAGCAGTGCTGAATGCAATTGACTACATCTCAAAATTCGGGTACACTAAGGAGCAGGTGAGGTCCTTCAATAGAAGTTAATGGGTAACAAGTTTTCAAACTCAGAAATCAATAGAAGCTCTATAATATAAGAGTTATTCATGCAATTTCCTACAACAACAGCATAATGCAATGCCTAATATTGTACCGCAATCGTGACCCTAGTGATATTGCTTTGCTTATTAGGTCTACCTTCTACTCTCATGCTGTCCATGCGAAGGAAGGATTTCGGGAATAGTCGATTCCCCCAATGCTCTGGCCACCCTTGCAGTTCCAACTGCTATTTTTGACCAGGTAATGATAGTCCCCCTGAGCTTCTCTTCTAGTGAAGTTGGAAGTGTAAAAATCAGATGAATTAACAGCAAGGCACTAACAAGTAATCAACAAAAAAAACCTGTCATCAACTCCTAATTTGGATCATGATCTTAGGCTGATTATGTTGCCTAGAAAGTGCACATAGATACATTGAGCATTTGTTTTCTGGACCTTACTTCGATGTCTTAGCCACTAGTCATAGTTGCAAGTCTTTCAGAACGAATTTACCTCCGTTCAACCAGCCAATGTTTCAGCAGCTGGTAGAGAAGTTTGATTGACTTAATATCAATATAGAAATTCCCATTGAAGAGATACCCACACCTGACTGAAAATTCAGACAGCGTAAAAGTGACCATGGGAGATACATTTACAGAATCAAAGTGTGAAGTACTGGAGCATCCCACTAATAGCGTGAATTATCTCAGGATGACTTCAAGAATAATACCCAAGTGCCACTGGCAGTGTCATCTTCATTAAAATATACAAGGACTTAGACATATAAAAAGTCTTTTTTGTTTTTTTTGCCAGACACGATAAATTTTATTCTACACCTACTCCTACTCTGGACCAAGGGAGGGGGTCCAAAGGGGTCAAGGAGTGAATTCGAAAGAGACTGAACCACCACTAATTCAGACGGATGACTACACATCCACTGGCAAAACCTTTCAAGAAGTTTTGGATTTTTTAGCATGCAGGTCAAGGCATTTAATCTCTTGACCTACATCCAAATAAAGTAGTAAACTTCTCTTAAGAGAGGGCAACTACTCTAAGAGTAGTTGATTTAGACATATACAAAGTGGTGAAGCCAAGATTTTCAGAAGTGGGAATCATGATGTCATCCTAGTAAAACAAAGCACGCATGATCAATACCTCATGGAAACAAGGCTGCAAAGGAAACAAGAAAGAAAGATGTCAAAATAAGTCATCAATATCCTATCCTGGAGTGTCAAAAGCCCTACTCCGCTGAAACTGATTTAATTGTTTGCATGCAGGATATCCGTCCCAAAGCCAACAAAGTGCCTGCTGGACCTCGGGTTGTCAGGTATCCAGGTATACCACAGTGTCCTTATGAAGGAAACTTGCCAACCACAAAAAATCCTGGTGCTACAGTTTAATTGCCACAATAAAAGCAGCATCTTCGTGGAAGCGTTATTTGAGAAGTTAGAAAATGTTTCAGTATGTTTAATGTGCAAGCAGAGACAGAATTTGGAGACTCTTACATGAAAGAAGCATCTTTAAGGGCATGATATACAGGCCCAAAGAGCTTTCATCAAACCTTTGATTCCTACCTACAGCTACCAATCAAAATGCATTGAAAAAACTAAAAAGCAAGATTACAGAATGAAGAAAGAAGTGGAGTACTGTAATCTTAAGTCAAAAAACTTTGAGACTTTTCAACAAATTAAAAGCATTATAGTCCGGATTCCTACTGCTTATTCTCAAGCTAGTTAATGATACAGAAGCATGTTTCACATGTAGAGGTTGAAAAGGAGGTCTTAAAACAAGAAACAGCCAGAATTCAACTAGTGACGGAGGAACTTTCATAAAACAAAAAAGAGATCCAATAAGACAAGTACATTGTCGTGTTTTTTGCCAGCTTCTCAAAATCATCTCTCTCTCTCTCTCTCTGTTGATCTAACCCACCCCAGGCTATCCTACACAAAATGAAAACTCAAGAGCCCAAACAACAGCAACTTCATTGCATGGTCCATCAATAGTATATAGAAAGTGTCCGATGGTGCTCAAGAGATGGGCATCGTGTACCAACAGACCATAACCAAAGATCCAGTTCCACACTCAAAACCTGAATAAGTAAGAAAAGAAGATATAAGATATAAATAAAAGAACATTAAACCAGAAATACAGGAAAGTTTGAATCGAGAAACACACGAAAATATTAGTCAGGCATAATTAAGTTGAAATACAGGATCACGCTAAGCAAAGAAGCCAACAGTAGAAAAGGAAGCAACAAAAGACAACATGAATTTCACATGTAAATCGTTGCACTGAATATGTACTTGTAAAATGCTTCTCATTCAGATTGCCGATAGTTTCTTATCTTAGTTGCAAATGCAAATAAAAAATTTGCTGTGCTCAACTGGAACTCACGTAGACCATTAGGCATAGAAATATCAAGTAGAATTTATGCTATTCTGACCATAGGGCAGATGCAAATTACGCAGAATTTTAGATATAGACAGTTCAAGACATGTAGCATGGGCAAAATTGAACAGTACAAGTCAATTGCCATTCCTGGTGATGCTGGGTGCTTGCACAGAACATGAATACTTGATAGTTTAGTCTTACAACCGCTGACCCTGACCCACAATATAAGCATATACTGCTGGTGAAGGGTTCAATAAGGTTAATACAAAGTAGTACACATACACAATACAATGTGGCCATTCTGAGAGCAAAGCTACATGAGGTGAAGCCTCATATACATTTTACAGTTTTGTGAACTATAGATTTCACATGCTTATCAAACTATTGTAGCCTAAACATAAGTCCAGACTTCAGCAATAACAATATATACAGATCGCTTCAAAGGACAAGGCCTTTGGAAGAACTCTGCCACAAATGGTTCAGTGCATAAGTAAAGAAGCAAAAACCAAGTACAATCACAGAATCACTATCCATTTTGTCTTCATCCATACACATTGCACTCAAGTAAATTAAACGTGAAACTAAAGAACAGAGGAAACCATAATAGACAATGACAAGCAAGACAGACCTGCTTTCCACATTTTTTACTTATTAACTCTCTCATTTTCTCCACGGCATAGACAGAGCATGCCCGCAACTCTACTTCCTCCTCAGTGCCTGAGCCAATTTCACTTTGGTTATCAACATTACTAGCTAGAGATGAACTGTATCTCAACACTCCAAGCTGCTGGAGAACTGCTGGGACAATATAATCAGCAAATATGGTTATTGCACCTATGTCATTAAATTCTCCATATCCTTGACCTTTAAATGCACCCCATAAATCTGCAGCAAATATCTGGGCTCTTTTATACAGGAAAACCTGATGACCTTTGTATACAGTGTGGTCACGGAAGCCTAAAACAAGTTCATTTGCATCACATATAACATGTTAGAAAATGGTAAAATTATTCAGCAAAACAGGAATAAAGAACCAGGCAAGTCATACCAGGGAAATTGCGTGTGATGAGTGCCACAAGTTTGACAGCTGATTTTCCACAGGACTCAACAAGTTTTAATGCTTTTCCTTCAAAATTTCTTTCCAACTCTAATCCAACCTAAAAAGCAAGAAAGTAGGTTAAAAAGCTAACGTGGTTTGCTACGTAGAAATGGAACAAACAGAACAGGCCCTCCAACCTGTTTCTATCAAAACTCCGCAACAGTACCTCATGCATTAAGCGCACCCTTTCATCCTCCAAAGGAAGAGGCCTAGGCCATTTCAACATCTTGCGTAGTTCAGGACCTGAAACAATGCTTGAGATGACAATCATTGGCCATCGAAATCTGATTCTTTACGGCCAAGACATACCCGTAGTAGCTTACACTTAGCAACAGTTGGCAATGATGAATGGGAAAAGTGGGAATCTAAAGTGAAAGTTTACAATAAGAGCTTATCCTCCAAGAACTTGAGCTAGAAAATCTTCAGAAGTGGATTTGACGATATGCCCCCAGAATGAGTATTTACAGAAAAAGGAAATCTCGAAGTATATCAATATCAGTAACAAAGAGTACAACGTACTAAAATGTGCCAAGATTTTGATTGCAGTCTATAAGTCTCACGAATAAATAATAAAATAATAAAAAAACACAGATTTTAAGAGAAGGCATTATATGGCTCGTACTGGTTTGCAACACAAATTTGAGCGAGTGCTTGACCATCTCTAACAGGTGGGAGACAGAAAGTACAGATACGGAGGTATTTCACGTTGACCAAATAATATCGAGGAATTCACCCCAAGAGACAAGTCCTTTTAAGGAATTAGGTTACCAGTGTACTTCTGCAGGCGATCAGCATCAAATGCAGTTTTGTCATTCTGAAGAGCTTCCTTCAATCCTGATGCTAAATGCTCATAGCTCATCTCCTTGTCTACATCAAATCGCAACAAAACCCAAAAAGAAAATGTCAGCCATTAATAGGAAGAACTGAACAACCCAAGGTTGTAAAAAGATATACTGGAGTGAGATACAGAAATTTGAAAAAAAGGATAAAATAACAATACAAGGTCACAATTATAGGCCTTTTGAATATTTTCTCTCATGTATCGGTTAATATCAGTTAAGGAACCAGTATTTATCTTCTCTTTACTGCAGCAACATTGTTGCTAAAGTGGAATTGATTTGAAAAGGCTTGTGGTGCAAGGGTTCCTTTTGACACCAAAGAAAAGACAAGAAAGGTGGTCTAACTAAATTAACGAGAAATGTCTTCGCACTTATAATCCAGACCTTGAATTAATAAGCTGAGCGCTTAATTTCAAGGTAATTCCACCATTTTAAAAACGGAAGTGCAATTAAAAATTAAATCCTTTTTGTACTTAGTGTTGACAAAAATATAAGAAAGCTGAATACCAATTTAAACAGAATGAATTCCGTTAAATACAGACGAAGATACCTGGCCAGAAGCAGAAATTTAGAGCATCCAAAACAAACAAGTACTGAACAGTAAGAGGGCCATTGTCAAAATAATGAATCCCTTCAAAATCCCACTCCACTTTTGGTATCGAATCTTTTATAGCTTCCGCAACTCTCTCAATGCCTGCAAGAATATACTTACTCCCATTCATTCACACTCATTTGCACATGCAACACCATAAACACTCAAATTTCAATCATCCCATCAAAATCAAACAAGTGACAGCTATAACCAAAAACCCAAAAATGAAATATCATAAATATGCCTGAGAAGTCGACGGTGACGTGAGAGGAGTGATTGGCGACCCAAGCTGAGCTGGCCCTCACCTCTTCCATAGCAGCCTCCGTGTTCTACGCAATTCCTGGATGTCGTTGAAGATAAAACCCCTAAATGGATTACGAAGATTCTAAGGGAATGCGGACCAAGGCTTGCAGCTCTGGGTTGTTTTGGAGTTTCCCGCTTTCTGTTTGTTTCAGAGTTGTGACTCACAACTTGTGAGGCGTTAGGTCTCGGCCTCTCGGGACTCAGGCTCAGGTTGGCTTGGCTTCGCTTTTCAAAAGGTTGACTTGACTGATAAAAACGCCTGCAATTTCGGAAAAGTCTTGGAATAGATTCAATTAACACGTGACGCTCAAATTTGGGAAACGAATTGGTAAATTGGTCATAGATTCAATTAACAATTTAGCACGTGACGGCCCAAAAGCTGTGGGATAACCCATTTAGGTTCTATTGGATATATTTGTAGAACCAACAGCCCTGGGCTGTTTGCCACGACAAAACTGTGGTAAAGGTCTCTATTGGTTGGAACTTGGAAGGTCAAAGTTTCGATCGTTGCCTCCTATCATTTCATTTGTTATTGAGGTGACGTTTGTTTCGTACCTTGAAATCAGATTCAAATTTGGGATCATTCATATTGGATTTAGAATGGAATCAGTTATTCAAATATATCTATTTGGTTCAATACGAGGAATGTATATCATTAATATAGTTAATGTTAGATTCATTGATTCTTTCGAAATGGGATATAAGAAATTTTCACTAATTAAATGTATTAGTAAATTTAGTATAACTAATTAATAATTTCTATTAGTAAACATGTATAATTATTAGTATAATTGATAATATCAATTATATTACATATACTAATAAACATTATATAATACATATAAATAATAATATCATTATTATAAGTTTGTGATTAATTAAATTGAATATTATATATAATTATACAAATATTATAATATAAATATATAATTATAATTATATATTATATAGAAATATTAATTATACTAATATATTATATAATTATAATGTATATTATATATTAAATATAATAATTATTATATTTAATATACAATATAATTATAATTATATAATATATTATAATTATATGCATATATAATATACATTTATAAATAATATAAGTATATTATTATATAATATTAATAAATTTAATAAATTTAATAAATTTATAATATATTATATAAATATAATTATATTTAATTAAATAATAATATATATTTATATAATATATTATATATGTGTATATAATAAATATAAATATAAATATATATTATATTTATTATTATAAATATATTATATAATTATACAAATATTATAATTAATATATATTCTATATAATTATATATTAATTTTTTTAAG